TGATTCCTTAAGTTTTCCAGTGATGTTCACAAGAGGCGGTGATCTCCCTTTTCCTGTCACATGTAGTTAGCTACACCTGATTTTTCTATTTCCCCTTGTATTACCTCAAAGGGGCAGCCTTTTTCTCCTTTACATTTCTTAACACAGCTGCACAGGACTGTGTACGCACAGTCCTTAGTCATGTTCTCCTCTATGGGGAGTTTTACTCAAAAGTTGTGTCTGAAGTGTTGAACCACTTGTGAAGGTCGTCCATAGATCTTTTGTATTTTTCTGATAATCCCTTCACAAGCTGTTTTCTGAGTGTTGTTATCCTCTTGTACTCTTCTATCCTAGTTTGTCAGAACTGCTGCCCAGGGTAGTTGTTACGTTGTAGGGTCCTTCTTATACTGACTACCTCTTGTTCTTGTGTCTCTGGGTTGCCACTTATGATTTTTGCTCTATGTTGTAAGCAGCGGATGATCCCTTTCTTCACACCGTATTGGTTGTGGGGGTTGAAGTAGAGGTATTATGCAGTGAATGTTGGTTTATGGTATTTGAATGTCTTGGACACATGCTCTTTTCAAGACATTAGTATATCTGTTTGAGATATTAGTACATCCAGGAATGTGAGTTTGTTGTTGTTTTCTCTCTCCATTGTAAACTGCATCGATATAAAGAAAAAATATTTTTACCAAGATTTTCTAAAAAAAGATATTTCTAAAATTATCTCACTTATTTGTGAAAAAGTTCCGTAGGTTTCATTAAAATACAACAGTAATCTGATTATTGCAAGAATTTCTAAATTAATGTTTTTTTCACCATAAAAAGACACTCTTTCCTATACTAATTTATGGTCAACTGTTGACACAAGAAAAATAAAATTTACCAAAGTTTTGAAGGCTCTAAAAAGGATTAAAATAGTATAATTTAATAATAAAAAAATATTTTGGTCTTTCCTCTTCTTAGACATTTTTTTTATTTTTATTAAGACATTATTAGACATTTTTTTTTATTTTTATTAAGACATTATTAGACATTTTTTTATTTTTATTAAGTTTGGCTGTGGTATTTTTTCACCATCTAGGTATGTCCACTAATTTGCCCCAAAATATCAGCATAGCATGATGAAAAAAGGCACCAAGCTTAATAAAAAAGTTTTATCAAGAAAATGCTTATGTTATAATTAAGAGGAAAGACCAAAGTATTTTTAATTATTTTATTAAATTTTTTCATCCTTTCTAGCATGTTCGAAATTTTGGTTAAAATCTTAATTTTGTTTTTTTTATGTCAGCTGCCTACATAATATTTACCATTAGTATTTTAATGCCTTTTTTCAGGTTAAAAACATGCCAATTTGGAAATTTTTGCAAAATTCAAATAATTGTCGGATTTTAATGAAACTTTCAGAGCTTATTCACAAATGAATGAAATTATTTTAGACATGTTATTTTTTAGGAAGCCATAGTAAAAATATTTTCTTTTTAGATCTGTTACCCACCTCTTAATGAAAAGTCAAGAAATTTGGTGGTGTGACTTAGTCATTATATTAGTCAAAAGCAGAAGTGTTTGAAGAATGTAACTATAAATATAAAATCAAAATACACAGCTACCCAAAATTCAACTCTGAATTGTAACATACAAAATCTAATAAAACTAAGACATTATTTAATTAGAAAAGCTTTTAATAATGGCTTTTATGAATAATATGTTAAGAACAAAATGTCTGAAAAATATATTTTTCTGATTAAAAATGAATTTTTACAAGAATTGTATTCTTTTTTTTCAATTTTTAATACAAAAGTGTTAAATATTTTAAAATTAAGTTTTAGTCCGTGCTCTTTAGGCAATGCTGTTATTAAGTAGATCTATTTTTATAGATCATAAATTTGAAAGGTTATTAGAATTGGCAACACACATGTATTTTAAAAAGAACTTACACTGTTTCATAAAACTTTTTCCAAATATATGGATGGACATGACTGACAATGTCAAGTGTTTTAAAAGTTGTTTCCCTTGACAGCAAGAAACTGACATCAGAAAAATTTTGTGTTTTTGTTCTGCCAGCACATCTTGAATTCTGACTTTTTGTTTGACCATCATCGTTGCCTTTTCAAAATTTTCAATTTTCTTTTTTGCATCCTATTTCACTAAATATTTTAATCATTTTTTTTTAAATATAATTAATTTATTGTTTTTTCTGTGAGAGACAATAATGATAATAATTAATTATTGTCTTTTTTTTTAGTTTCAATTCTAGGGACGGAAACAGTGTGGGCTTTGGACATATCTTCGTTAAAAAAAAGTACTTAAAAAAAGAATCAATAAAATATTAGATTTTTGAAAGTATTTAGTTTTTCCAGAAATCCTATTCAAAGGTAAGGCTATAAAGCTAAAGTATCAAAAATAAATAAAAATAAATTAGATTTTTGAAAGTATTTAATTTTTAAAAATTGCTGTATAGTTAAATAAGCTGGTTCACTTAAAATTCGAAAATATTGTCACTTCTGTCCTTCCCTCCGCTAACTCCACCTGATGTAAAACTGTTGATACATCAACGGAAACATCAATTCAGTCACACCTTCAAAAACAAATTACTACAGTTAGACATGCTTCATTTTATTTTCAACTAAATTTTTTTCTGCTAAAAAAATTAAATAATATTTGTTTCCATTTACATTAAGTAAACTTTTAATTTTCTAATTATCCTCAAATAACTTTTGAGAAAAGTGTAATTGATTTTTACAAGATTTTTAAACGGAGAATTTAACTTTTGTTTACAAATTTCTCAAAAATGGTGGATATCATCGATTTTTGGCAATTTTGCCGACTCAACAACAAGATTTTTAATTAAAATTTTGGACATGGAAGGAAGGATTAGAAAATATAAAAAAAATACTTTTGTCTTTCTTCTAAATGAAAAAACATTTACGATAGAAAAAATTATTTTCATAAGTTAGGAGCCTTTTTTTCATCAGAGTATGTGCTCAGTGCTCTCTTTTTTAGCGAATTAGTAGAGATAACTCCTTTTTTTTTAAAGCTTCGGTCTTTTGGAGCGCAAAGAAAAATGTAAAAATGATATCCAATAATAATTGTTAGTAGTTGCATAGTTTGGGGATTTTTTTTTTTTTTTTAAGTAAACGAACCTGCTGTAAGTAAGTGTAATGACAATGTAATCTTTCAGCAAACGTCCTTAACGTTCGAAATCTATTTTTATTTTTTGTCCTACAGTTCTGTTGCCGGGAAGTAGAACCGTTTATTTATTTTAATGGTTAATAATTGAAAATTGATCTTTAGTTGATCATTATCAATTAACGAAACCTAACCACGATAAGATCATAAAAATAATCAGGGAAAAAGTAGTATAGATAAATTAAGCAATCAGAAACTTTAAAAACTCACAAACAAAAACTTTCGATTCACAAAAAAAGAAGAAAAAAAACCCAACAAAAACACTAAGTAAGTAGAAATTAGTGACGTACCTATCTGAAATAGAAATTATTTAGTAAACTTGGCCTCACATATGATAGAGAACACAAATGTGGGACGTCACAAACGACTACTGCTCTGACAGTAAAAAAAAAACTAAAGTAAACCATGCTGAACTGATCTTTATTCTTTAGCCATACCCGGTACAAGACCACACGTTTGAGATTTTAAAGATCGAACTAATTGCTGTTTACTTACATTCGGACTAATGTCCTTTAAATAACTTTTAGTTTTAACCTACGAAGGTAAGGTTCTTGTCCCGTAGTCAATTTCTAGGCATACTTCGTCTTATTTTTTAATTTTTTTTTTTTAGTAAGGTTCACTTCTTATTGTTACCTCTGTTTCCACCAACCGAATAGTGTACTGTAGCGTAGTAATTGGTCCAGGGATTGAACTCAATTGCTATGCCACCAAATTCACGAACCAGCAGGGTTAGAAATTACCGAGCAGTACAAAAAAAAAAAAAAAAATGACAGGATATTTCTAGGCATAGGCAGCAGAACGAGAACAATCTACTCCCGTCGAGAAGTCAGTTCGAAATTCCTTCAAGGTTACCCGGTTTCGACAGAAAGGAAGATAGAGACTGGAAGGCACAACAATCGAAAGGTTGTGAAAAAAAAAAAAAAAAAAAAATCAGGACACTCTTCCAAATAAAACTCCTTATCCAAAAAAAAAAAAAAAAAAAACTGATACAACTAATTTTTTAATCACCCAACCTAGCAAAGAAGTATCCGGATTCATGATTTAAAAATCTCAACTTAGCTTCTATCACGAGGTAAGATGTATGGCACCTCGTGAAATTCAAACTCATCACACTGTAGTACAGTGTAACCCGAATATAAGAGAGTTGTCGGGACCGGAGAAGAAGTCTCTTATATCCGGGTTTCTCTTATATCTGGGTTTGATCTATTTTGTTTAGGTAAGTATGGGCTCTAATTTGGGACCAGAGAAAATCTCTCTTATATCCGGGTTACACTGTAATAATGTTTTGCAGCTTCTTATGAGGGAGATACTAAGTTGCTTTATGATGCTATTTTTTGAACAGGCCATCGAGAGATTAACCGGGGAAATGGAATACGACAATTATGAGGCAGAAATAAATAGAAATGAGTGTAAAATGCGAAATCTTGTGTCATAATGATTTAATGTTGGGACATCAAGTCTCAAACTATCAAAAAATGAAAACAGTTAAAAATCAAGGAAAGAAATGAAGGAGGTTTTATGAAAGTAACGACTTTTTTAATTGTTGAGAGAAAAGTAGATAAATTACCGAAAACAACAAAAAGAAAAACATTCAGAAAAAAAAAACAATATTCAATTTGAATGTGTTTAATTTAATTTTACATGGTCATCTAAGAGAGGTCGGTCAAATCAAAATCTTTTTTTATGTCACCAAAAGCACCATTCAATTAAAAAAAAAAAAAAAAAAAGATCCAGTTTGGGTAAAATATAATTTCAATATTTATCAATCAAACCCAAGTAATTTACCGAGCAAAGAGATTAATATTGAATTGATAAAAAATGTTTTTAAATACCTATAATTAGTCCCGATATAGGCAACGTATATCAAAAAACGTCCCATGTTCGAAGTTTTTCTTCAATCTTCTTGTTTTTCTTTCTTCGTCTAATTTTCTGTAATTATTTTAAAATCAAATGATGACCAGAACTATTGAGTATTGATACATCCTCTTCTTTGTCACACCAGTAACAGTATTTTAATCCAAATTTAGTGGCATGATTGGTGTTTTATTTCAAAACTTAGTAAACCAGTAGTTAATAAATATCTATATAAAGGGACAGTGAGCTTTCAGAAAGTAATCGAAAGTCTTGATTATTTTGCTTAAAAATTGTTATAAGGGAAAACTTAAGCACTTTCCACGAGCGAAGCAAATGAAACCGGCTATCGTCAAAGGTCGGATTTTTTTCTTATTTGCTTTTAATACAATAATTAAAAGATCAGCAATTAGTTAAATTATTTGTTTCATGTATGTACAGAATCATTATACTTTCCTTTACATACTTGCTAAACCCATCAAAAGTAAAGCGTGTAAACAAACTTAATATCAGACCCATGCTCAACAATCAGTATGATGAGCACATGGTCGTGAACTTCCGGATGCGCTTGCGCGGTATCAATATCATGTACATTGATATCGAGGCTCTGCAACGTGGCTCACCGGTCATTTCCGGTAGCCGTTAAGGAACTTTTAGCTGTCGAATCATTCTCGTTCCACTCTACGACTTTTTTTATTTGCCAGGGACAGTTTGTTGTTTCCACCTGTGGGGTAAGCAGATTGATTCACCTCTTACGAGTAATAGTTGATAATCTGGAAGGTTGGCAATGTTTTCAACCTGGAGGATAATTGCTTGTGGAACAGTTTGCCAGAAAGGAGGTGTCTGTAAGAAGCAGTACATAAACGTCTGAATGACTTTAGTATGGCGGCCTTAGTTTTCCTAGCGTTATGAGACGTTAGCATTTTCGTTGTTATGTAAAGAAAGCAAGAAAAAACACTTAAAATTGCTGATTGTTTTTTGTTTGATATTTTAAAATGTTAATCTGAGTTTCTTTATATGTTTGTAATTGTTCTTTTTATGGAAGGAGTCGTCGATTATTGCTAGTCGTTATCACTACTGTTGCTACTACTAGATTTTTTTTTTTGTAATGGCTGAGTTTCTGTCTCCGACACGTTCTGTAACTTATCTTCTCGCTAACTTTTTAGTCTCATTTTTCTTTTGTTTATACTTGGGAATCTAACTGAAATAATATGTATCATCTATTAATAGTGATTCTTATAAAATGATCTTTATTCTTATGGGATGTGGTATTTTTTAACTCTTGTTAACAATCAGAACAGCATCTGTCATCTCAATCTTAGAACCTCCCCATCTCTTATAATTGCTTTTTTATTTTTAGTCAAATAGTGATATATAAATAACAGATCATGCTACTTACTATTTGTTAAAGCATTACTTAAATTAGCATGACCTGATCATACAAATTCTACACTGAAAATATGAAGGAAAATATAAAAAAAAAAAAACACTATGATTATATAGTTAAACTTACGCGCAAATTTTTCAGTTGACAAGAAAAATCTACAATTTTGTTTATTTGAAATAAAGCTTTAGTAAGAAATAATTTTTATTTTAATTCGTAGTTTTTTATTTTTTAAAATAAATCAATCTTTCTCCTGTGCTTTTAACCTGTTTATTTATTTTTAACTTTAATAAAAAAAAAAAAAAAAAATCTAGCCTAGTCACTTTTTGTAGGAGGGGCGGGTCTTTATTTTTAATTCACAATCTCTTTTACTAGTATTTTAGTAACATCTTGTGTCGTTACATATTTTTGTTGGTACACCAAATTTTATTTATAAAAAAAACCATACTGATTTACTTTCATTCAGCGATTTGCACAGTTTGGCCTTTTTCCTTTTTGGATCCCACCTCCGACCTTATTAAGGAGTTTTAAGTGTGTGGTTTGTATTTGCTACATTAATTTCACGCTTAAAAGATCTTTTCTTTTTACTTGACAATAATGATGAATGTCATATATTGCTGAATATTGAGTTATAGTTTTGGGGGATGGTTGGATTTCTTAAGAAAATTGAATTCTAGACGAATAAGAATAAGATCATTATGACCTTGTTTAAAATAAACCAAATTGAAATTTTTTTCCTCTAGATTTACTCTTTAGAATATAAATTTTATTAGCTACACTTATTTGTCAACACACGGACCATAGAATATTTTTGAAAATCTTTTATATTCGTAACTGACAACTCCTTTTTTTTTTTTTTTTTTTTTTTACTTAACCGTTTTCTGACTTTTCTCAGTATCTAATTTTCTCATTTTTAAATGATAAAACTTTCTTGTATAAATTCTTACTAATAAAACAATTAAAAACATTTAAATTACTAAATTAAATATTTAAAAAATACTTTAAGAAACTTACGATTTCTTCAGTTAGAATTGGGTTCACCGCAAAATGTCAATTCTGCATTATTCTCTCTTCTCTTTCCATTTAGAAAAAGAGTTTCTAAAAATTAAAAATATTTGCTTACTTAAGCTTATTTTTTTCACATCTAATTAACTGCCACTTTAAAGCTGTGAGACATAAATAAAATCAGCCGATTTAGCTTAAAAACTAAAAGTTTTCGTTTTGATAAAATTTAAATTCTGCAGTCTGTAATGATCTTTCTTTATGACTTTCCTTTAAAATTCTTAAACCATGAATCTTCTTGTATGTAGTTAGGCATAAATTCTTTTGCCAGGTCTGTGCTTCCATAAAAAATTCTAATGTAACTACGTCAAGAGAGAAAGTATGGTGACGCGTCGCTTTTTCCTCCCCCCCCGTCATTCTCTTCTTAAGTTTCATTCTATGTAGACTTTTGCCTTTCTTTCTGTTTCCACTTGCTATTATCTCTGATTTGCGTTGGTATTGCTCCTATTTATCTATATTGTGCTTCTGTGTATACCCCTGTCCGGTTTGCCACAGATTACAGTACTTGACCTGACCCACTTTTTAACTTTTTTTTTTTTTTTTTTTGCTCCATTTAATTATGGCTCTTCTTGTTAGTCTTAAACTTTTTAACACTACAATATTTATTTCCTCCTATTTCTCTCTCTTTATTTCCAAAGAGGACTTATAAAATAAATAAATAAATAAATAAACATTATTTTTATGCGGTTTTATCTATCTTTTCAAAATAACTAATCAGCTGACACTTAATATAACGAGCAATTCTCATAAACAAAGTTAAGGTGATTTCATTTTTTGTGTACCAAAATCTTTGAACCAGAAGATCTTACTCTTTAAAAATTTTGTTTTTTTTTCTTCTTTTTTTCTCTCTCTAGAACATTTCTGACGATTTTTCCCCTTTCATTTTTCTAATGTAGAATGATAAATTTGCTGTAAATTAATATAGAAAATGTGATTAAATTTGCTTTGTGAATTTGCTAACATAGTAATTGTGAGTTCAATCCCCTGGACGGGTAGTGGAAATTGAATGAGCAATAACAGCAGTATTAAATGAGAACTGGACGAGATACCCCTAAACAGGGTTAGCGGAATGAGACCCATTCCCTGAAGCTTACACAGATCAACAAATATGTGATTAAAGCCAGATGCCACAATGGCTGAAACGTGATAACAACAAAGATGAGGACAATAGTATTCATGTAAATAACTTTTCATGCCAGAAATTTGGATAGAAACTTTATAGTCTAGTTACTAGATTGAACCTGTATTCCTTCTTTCCATCAGGGAAACCACATTTTTTAGCCAGTGTGTGGCTCTACCAGCTTGGCCACAGAGCTGGCCTAAAAGGGCAAGATTTGAATTACCTACATTAATGAAAGTACACCTTTTCTCCTTGAGTTTCCAGCAAATCTGTATCTGCTAGCTTCAGTTTTGTATTCATTATTTAAAAAAAAAAAAAATTCGGGGATAGCAACTGAAATCCATGTAGTAAAAAAATATTCTTTAAAAAAAAATTACTACACACACTTTCACTGTAGCATTTTTCAGCTTTTTTTTTTTTTTTTTTTTTTGTTTTAATAGAACCACAATGTTCATTGGTCATTACAAGAGAGGAAAAATAGCACAAGTGAATCTTGGGAATATACATTTTCCTCCTAGATTGAAAAAAAAAAATACTGGTCATTAAATCAAAAAAGTTAAAATCCACCAGTCATCAAATAATTCTTAAATAGGCTAGTTGTATAATTTATATAAACTAAGCATTTGAACAGTTTAAATTTGATTCTACTGGACAGTTTGCCAGTGAGACATTTCCCTTTTCTGCATATGTCATGACTGCAGGTATTATTCAAATAAGTTGTCCTGTCTGTTAAAAAGAAAATTATACCATAGAAATCTGAAATCAATGGAAACATTAATGTTAAAATACTGTTGTATACATATGGTCGATGTATAAAATAATTAAAAAAAAAAAAAAGTTAGGTTATGCTAGTATTATTTTTAAGTTTTGGGGCTAGAAGTCTGTGGATAGTTGAGAAACAAGTTTTTCACTATTTCCTTTGAATATAAAGAAACCACATTCTTATTTGCATTTATCTAATGCTATTTAACAATGCTCTTTTAGTCATTTGTGTGGCTGAAACTTTTGAAGTGAATGTCTTTTTATGGCATATAAATGACTAAATGACTAGTCTTGACAAGTTAAACTAAACAATATACTCCCCATCACCAATAAAAACCAAAATCAATGCTCTTGGAAGACATTGGTCTGAGCTGATTCTAGTTATAATCACAAGAGTTATAAGGCTGTCTTTTGAATAGCTCCAGTTGAAAACTTTTATTCAAACTTGGAGACACACTTTGAGCAAAATAATATCAAGTTTAAAAAAACTAAAAAAATTAGCACACTATGATAAAAAAAAGAAATGCTCCAAACTTAAAAGAAAGTTTTATCATTGAAATCAAAAAAGATCGAAAGTATTTTTTGAATATTTCATTAAAATTTTTTTTTTTTCTTTCAGAGCATTCAAAATTTTTATTAAAATTCTTGTTTTTCTTGCATCAACAGATGGACTATAAATTAGGATAGCAAATTTTAGCGTCTTTTATGCGGTGAAAGACAATAATTAGGAAATTTTTGCAAAAATCAAATTGCTGGATTTTAATGAAATTTATAGGACTTATTCACAAATGAATTATTTTTTTTTTTTTTTTTTAATGTTTCACCCCACTTAATTTTATGAAAATTCAATAAATTTAGAGAGATAATTTTTAATGACTATATTATTTGAAAGCAGAAATCTTAAGAGAATTTAAATCAGAAATTTTGTTTTTGTAAAATTGGATTAGTTTTGAAGTACAACAGTATTTTGCTTATTGAAAATATTAAATTTAATCTATTAGCTTGAAATTAAAACTAAAATGAAAGCTTCAAGAAATATTTTTCATCATTAAAAATTCATTTAAAACTTTGGGTATCACATTTTTGTGGATTCTCAATATCCTATAGATTCAGCATAACTGAATGACTTGCTTTAAGAATTCCTTCCCCCAGGTTAAGCACAATCTTCCCAATCCTCATTTCTTATTCTCCTTATTGTTGGACTAAGTTAAGATTAATAAATTCAGTATGAGAGAGAATCCATCATAAGATGACTTCTTTCTATTTAAGATTGTCAGCTAAAAAGACAAAATCTTCCAACTTCTACAGATTTGAATCCTATTGGTTGCTTTAGCTTCTAGAGATTTGAATATTTTATGGAATTTTGTAAATAAATTTGTTATAGACTTCCTCATTATTATGAA